TATGGCTCTATGACTGCTGGAAATCGCTGAATGCGACACAATAGAATCACATGACTGGTGTGCGCATGGAATAGAAGTCCATACTTTGCTATCACAGCAGTCACGTGCTTCCATCACGGTACTCTACTTACTACATGTCTGCACACTAACCATATTCGATCCGGGGTTGTCTGCTTCTCATCTTTCCTTGAATTGTTCCTGGCTGCAACCATTGTCAATTTCGGCGCAAGTATATGTTAGATGTGGATGGATATATATACATATATGTACACAATTTGTGACACAAACAAATTTGGTCCCAACTACATAATAATGCATCCGTAATGTCCAATTTTGGTTGCTAAAAATATAATAACCACATCATTTCTGCAACAACAATTATAAATGGTCCAAATTATTTTGGCCCTTACTTTTGGTCTCTAAAATCTTAATTTCTTGTGAGTACAAACTGAAATCTGCACAGGCGCAAGCTATGAGTTCAAAATATGTAATGCAGAATTGTGCAAAAATACTGTCACACGTTTCTGACGAGAGGGATTCCTACTGTGAGCCGCTTTGAAGGACACGGATCGAACCTGTAAAAAATAAATGGCCCAAGTGGCCGCTTTCGACGAGGGGGCTCGATAATGTCAACCCTTTCCATTCCTAAACCTTTGCCACTTGCCTTCAATGTTTTCCTTTGCCTGTAACAAATATCAGCGTAAATGAAATTTTGTTCAAGGACAAATTACATCGGTGGTATGTACGTTTTGTTCATTCTATCATCTTCGTCGGTTAACTTTAAAGTTAGTCAATCTTGCCTTCCCATTTCAAAAGTTGTGCCATTTTCGTGAAATTGGTAACGTCGTTTTCCGTTGTCACCGAAAATGATGAACCGAAGTGGTTTAGTATAACTCAGTGAATTATGGATTTCACAAATGCTCTCCGCAGAATACGCGACATGTGCCGTATGTGCACATATTAAGAAATCGACACAGTTTTAATCCATTACACGAAATTCATGGTGCAATTTGAGGCTATCGCAAATGTGTCAAACTCAAATCGCACAACCTCCTGATAGCAGTACATAACGGCACAATATGCCATACACAAACAGACCGTGGTATTTAGTAGGTACAGGAAACATAACCTTGCAAACCTAAATGTATCAAATACTGAACGACATAAACTCACAGTTGCTTCGCATTGTCTGACATGTCGCCCATATCCAATTACGATAATTCCTGCAAAGAATTGCATGCAATATTCATAAGGATGCAGAAAGAACGTTACTCCCACATTGTAACAAAACGAAATTGACTGTTAACAACTTACAATCAACGGACCATTGAGTCGTACGTGCATTGTATGAGTGGTACTTTTCGTTTATTTTCAAGTACGATATGTTGTCGTTAATTTATGCAGATATGGCATGCCACTGTTTTACGAAAATTAATTGGCCATATGTTGTACTCATTTTCAATGTACCCACAGAACCCACTGTACAACCAACTCCACCACCACCTGAAGCATCGCAACAAACTCCCTTACAACCTGCTTCACAGTCTTTGCCACAGCAATCCACACAGTCTGCATCACAACATCCTTCCACTTCTCCTCAACACATTCATCAAATTCCCAGTCCAATCAGTAATGTACCCACAGAACCCACTGTACAACCAACTCCACCACCACCTGAAGCATCGCAACAAACTCCCTTACAACCTGCTTCACAGTCTTTGCCACAGCAATCCACACAGTCTGCATCACAACATCCTTCCACTTCTCCTCAACACATTCATCAAATTCCCAGTCCAATCAGTAATGTACCCACAGAACCCACTGTACAACCAACTCCACCACCACCTGAAGCATCGCAACAAACTCCCTTACAACCTGCTTCACAGTCTTTGCCACAGCAATCCACACAGTCTGCATCACAACATCCTTCCACTTCTCCTCAACACATTCATCAAATTCCCAGTCCAATCAGTAATGTACCCACAGAACCCACTGTACAACCAACTCCACCACCACCTGAAGCATCGCAACAAACTCCCTTACAACCTGCTTCACAGTCTTTGCCACAGCAATCCACACAGTCTGCATCACAACATCCTTCCACTTCTCCTCAACACATTCATCAAATTCCCAGTCCAATCAGTAATGTACCCACAGAACCCACTGTACAACCAACTCCACCACCACCTGAAGCATCGCAACAAACTCCCTTACAACCTGCTTCACAGTCTTTGCCACAGCAATCCACACAGTCTGCATCACAACATCCTTCCACTTCTCCTCAACACATTCATCAAATTCCCAGTCCAATCAGTAATGTACCCACAGAACCCACTGTACAACCAACTCCACCACCACCTGAAGCATCGCAACAAACTCCCTTACAACCTGCTTCACAGTCTTTGCCACAGCAATCCACACAGTCTGCATCACAACATCCTTCCACTTCTCCTCAACACATTCATCAAATTCCCAGTCCAATCAGTAATGTACCCACAGAACCCACTGTACAACCAACTCCACCACCACCTGAAGCATCGCAACAAACTCCCTTACAACCTGCTTCACAGTCTTTGCCACAGCAATCCACACAGTCTGCATCACAACATCCTTCCACTTCTCCTCAACACATTCATCAAATTCCCAGTCCAATCAGTAATGTACCCACAGAACCCACTGTACAACCAACTCCACCACCACCTGAAGCATCGCAACAAACTCCCTTACAACCTGCTTCACAGTCTTTGCCACAGCAATCCACACAGTCTGCATCACAACATCCTTCCACTTCTCCTCAACACATTCATCAAATTCCCAGTCCAATCAGTAATGTACCCACAGAACCCACTGTACAACCAACTCCACCACCACCTGAAGCATCGCAACAAACTCCCTTACAACCTGCTTCACAGTCTTTGCCACAGCAATCCACACAGTCTGCATCACAACATCCTTCCACTTCTCCTCAACACATTCATCAAATTCCCAGTCCAATCAGTAATGTACCCACAGAACCCACTGTACAACCAACTCCACCACCACCTGAAGCATCGCAACAAACTCCCTTACAACCTGCTTCACAGTCTTTGCCACAGCAATCCACACAGTCTGCATCACAACATCCTTCCACTTCTCCTCAACACATTCATCAAATTCCCAGTCCAATCAGTAATGTACCCACAGAACCCACTGTACAACCAACTCCACCACCACCTGCGTGTCTGAATGCTGTTGGTTCTTGGTGCCATATTGGATTCCAGCTGTTCCGGACTCCATCGGCAGGGTTATGCATTGGGCCCCGAATGATGGGCTCTGGTTATTTATAGTGGTTCATGGCCTTTGTGGGCCTGTCTATGTCAGTAGTCCCCCATTCCCGAGTGCAACTTCAGACCAACGAAGGGAATATGTATTAGGAAGATGGGTCCGATCGGGATGGCCGGCCGAGTTGGTGAGGCGAGCGTAGGATTGTCTGACCGTGGGGAGGGTTGATCGCGCGAAGGCTAAGCGGAGGGCCTGCCGGCCGAGCTAAAGGGCCGACCGTGAAGAGGGGCGAACGTGCGAGAAGGCCGACCATTGAGGGCAGGTCGACCCAAGGGGCCGACCGTGAGGACAGGCTGACCGTTGAGAACAGGGTGACCCAAGGGGGCCGACTGTGAGGACAGGCCGATCGCGCGAGAAAGCCGACCGTGAGGGCAGACCGACCCAATGAGCCGACCGTGATGGCAGGCCGACCCAAGGGGCCAACCGTGAGGACAGGCTGACTGCGCAAGGCCGACCGTTGACGACAGACCGACCGTGGGGAGGGCTGATCGTGTGAAGGACAGGCGGATTAGCCCGAGGCTGAAGGGGCGGCGTGGAAAGTGATGATTGGAAGTAGAAAAGATAGGGTAAGGGGATGGACAGTGCATCATGGCCGTACACGTGGCCACATCCCGCAAAAGGGGGGAAGATTAGGCGTTGGATCAGAAACGAAACGTTAGGTCATTGTGGGTGTTGAAGAGACGATTTTGGCGGATGATTTTGAAAAGTTTTGAAACTGCCGAAAATTAATTGGGACCCTTGGAATACGGGTAAACCGTAGGCTTTTGGCATTATTCGATTCACCTACCTGTGTACGAAAAATCAAAATATTCCAAGTGTGAATTCCTTTGTTGCTCACAATACACCTCTGCAACACTTTTTCAATTTCCTTGTTCCTGCCGCCGAAGCGATTCGCAGACATACCACACAAATGGCCGAAGAAGGGAGTGTGATTGTCAGGGTGGACCCGCTTGGAGATGACGATGTTGTGGAGCTAGCGGCGCAGTATAGTATACGACAGAGAGGGTGGGGGGGCCGGTTACGATCCCACGGTTCCACCATGATAGCAACTCCAAAGCCAATCAGCCAGGCGGAACCAGATCATTGGCACACGAAGGATGACAAATCCACGACAGTAGACGAAGGCAAATGGAGGGGAGGCCATGACAGTAGACGAATTCTTTGCTTGTTATAAGGCGTCGGGGCAACAGGAGACGTTGGTCACCCTGCAGGCTGCAGTGGGGAAGGGGTTGGTGGCGGGTCTGCCGTCGTCAATCAAGGGGTGGTGGCCGTGATGGTTCTATGTGTCTGCCAATGGGGGGCTTGGAGCGCGCACCGTGTAGGAAGTGCCCATCAGGTCTGTGGAGCTGAAACTGGGGGCAGCTGCGGAAGGGAGGGTGAGGAGGGTGAAGGAGTGGAGGGAGAGAGAAAATGCCAAATGGGACGAGCTCGTTCAGCCGTTGGCATTGTTTGAGGCGGGGTTGGGGCCAAAGCTAAGTAGTGGGGATCTCGACCGAGCGGAGTTGGAGGCGAAGAGAAGGGTGCAGGAGGCAGAGGATCAGGCCATTCTTGCCAAAGCCCAGCAATTCAAAGAGTCCCAGGCCGACCAGCCACCAAAACCTGTTGCGAGGGAGCGGATTCGACCTCGCCCGAAACCCTTGGGAGAGAAAAACTTGGGCGATTTTGTGCCACGGCCGCCCCCAGCAGACCCTTTGAAGGAGAGGTCGTTGAAGGAGATGGAGGCATTGGGCGTGGGAAAGAAGAAGAAGAGAGTGAGTCAGAGTGAGGAAGTGCCTACCCAGAAGAGGAGGAGGGAGATGAGTGTGTAAGAAACCAGTGCGGTCGTGGGGTATGAAGGGGGATATGTGAAGGGGGCCCCAGGAAGGGTAGGTGGCCCAGAAGTGGTGGATGTTGCCTCAAAGGTCATGGAGGTGGTGCCAGTGGTGGCGGTGATCGCCGCAGCGGTCGCAAAGGTCGTCCCCGATAGGTAAGTGGAGGATGAGGCTGTTGGCCTTGGGCCAAGGAGGGAGGGACAGCCTCAGGGGGGTCTTATACCTCAAGAAGGAGGAGTCAGTGGGACCGCGGGGCGGCTGGAGGGAGAAGAAGGCCCAGCCAAAGCAGGGGCAGATCGCCTTGTAGGGATTATAGAAGAGGCAGCCCTG